GATCAGTTTTACATTAGGGCAATATTTTGCAACTAAGATTGAGATTTCTGCTTTTTTTTTTTTTTTTTTTTCAACCTTCCATCTAATGTTTTTTGGGATTTTGAGACTCAAAGAAGGCCATTTCTGCATTTCTGAAGAAAGGAATTTACCTCCTTTCATATGCAGGTAAGTGGTTTTATTACTAGAAGAAAAACATCATGAAATGTGAAGCTTACTGTTCAGCTTTTTTTTAATTTTACTTTTACATCTATCAATATTTGTGTGAAATCTGTAAAACCTCAGAAATGCTGCAAGTTTGATTACAGTTACAAGCTAGATTGCAACTGCTCCACTCACAGCTCATCAAGGAACTGAGTGCTGCAGGAATGGCTCAGAAGTAACCAGCAAGAGCTGGAAAAGGGAAATAATCTGCCAGCATGAAATTCTAGTGGTACCATTACAAAGGAAGTGGCCTTTTCAAACAGGGAAAGGTGGCTAAGGAGTGCCATGAAAGTAAAAGAAAACCTGCAGTCTTCATCTTTGCAAATGCCTGATGAAAGATGGACAGAAGCATGGACAAAATGGAAGATGGACAGAAGCATGTGTGCAATGGTAGCTGGTAAAAAGGAAAACACTGTATGTATGTGCAGGGATTGTGTATGTGTGCATATATGGGCTCAGATGGAACCATAGAATTACCTAAGTTAGAAGGGTCCTACAGGGACCATCAAACACAACCATTCTCTGGCTCTGCACAGGACAACCCCAGAAATCAAACCATGCATCTGAGAGCATAGTCCAAACTTCTTGAACTCTGTCAAGCAGGATGTGGAGGATCCTTGAGCTTGTTGACTTTGGGAAGGGGCATTGTCACTGGTTTCCTGTGAGTCTGGAGCTATTATGCAAGTGACATGCCATCCTTACGGAGGTGATTGTGCAAAGAGAAGTTTTCATTAACCACAGCAGTGGCAGTGTCTGGTGTAATGAGCTTTATAAAACCTGGGCAGTTAATTCTCCCATGAGACTGAAACCAGTCAGGGTCATTTTAGGGAGCAGAAAGAGTAAAGCCAGGAGGAAATGCATTTACTTGGTTTTAATGGAGTGTTTTTTCAATCACTTATATCTCATCAGGCTGTAAAGGAGAAAAAAAAAAATAGTATTAAGGCACTACACGGATCTACTGTATTAAATTGACCCAAGTTCTATATCTTTATAAAGCTGCAACACATGGGAGCTCTAAGAAGGAATGCATTCCTTCATGTCTGCGGCATTTCTCTTCTTCTCTTTTCCTTTTTTTTTTTTTTCCTTGTGTCTGTAAGTGTGGCTCATTCAGCAGCCAGTGAGGTAGTTATTATTAACACAGGAGAGCTGGAGTAGTTTACTGAAAATCCTGTCTTACAGCAAATGCAAAGCAAAGGTTTAGGTGAATCAATTTGCTGTTATTATGGTGTCCTTACATGGTCTCCAGCAGAAAGCTCTGTTGAATTTACAGTTACATTTTGTATCGCTTTGAAGTATTAACTACTTAATTCTACTGGTTCTGCTGCCGATGATAAACCAGATGTTTTATCACAGGCAGCGGAGTGGATTCTTACAGGTACTCATGTGCCAGCTCCTATTCATTTCCGCAGGAGCTGGGTTTATCTGCTCAGCTGTATCCAGAAAATGTATATGCTGTACTTTGAGCTCAAACTGATGCCAAGATTTTGTTCGTTTTAAACTGCATCTTGCATGAGGGGATGTCTTCCTTTTAGAAGATTTACATTTTCAACTCCTGGGGTAATTAAAAACCCCAAATAAATAGTTCATTGCTTCCCTCACTTTTTAAACTTTTATTTAAATAACAAGAGCCAAAGGTAGAACTATCTTCACGGAATCATCATCATGCTTTTTTGCACTGACTTCCATGGAACGTTAAACCAGCTGAGGACCTAAAAATCTATAAATATGACCTGAGGACACATTAAGAGACAAAATTCCCAAAGATTGCATTCTAGACTAGCCCCACACCTTGGGTCTTGCATTTATTATGAATCTTGTTAATGGACATTATTTATTAGAAATTAAAGTTTTATTTAACTTTAAACATTAGTATTAAACTCTTTTTTCAATGTTTGGCTTTCAGTAAAGAATTTTAATTTGAGATGTCACAAAAATAATAAAAATTAAACTTTCTATATTTTCCATTCCTTAAATATTTCTTTGCATAAAAAAATACTGTTGTATTCAAGATAGTCTTCTATTGGCCTTTCAACCAAGTTTTAGTGGATTTATTTTCACATATTATACTAGATATCAACAGTGATCCCTTAGCTCAAGTTCTAAAAAAGAACTATGGGAACTCATTGGCTTGGGGAAAGAAGGTTTTGGGTTTTTAACATGTCCTATAGTAAATGTATATAAATTAGAGGCTGAGATACAGCATAGATGGCAAACCCTTCTCCTGCCTGCTTTGCCCAGAATGAAAATTCCCATAGACACTGCACAGACAGGAGGAAAAAGTCAGTATGTCAAAAGGAGAAAGAACATATGGGACTTATGAGATTTGTAACAGACAGTGCTTATGTGATTTATAACCCTTCTGAACTTCTGGTTTCAAGGTCAAATCCTGCTTAAAACTGGCCACACTTTGCACAAGAATCTGGAAAAGATGCAACTGATGAATTCAGGGGTTGGAGGTAAATGATCTTGAATGTCCCTTCCAACCAAAGCCATTCTATGAATTCTAAATGTCCCTTTACACCTAAATAGCTCTTGTGGTTCTACAGTTTTGTATCAAAGGTAGTGAAGAAGTCTTTTTTTTCCAGGAGGAAATGTGTGTGAAAGTTACAGTGTACTTGTGAGACACAGAAAGATGGAGGAAAGAAAAATGCTGCTTTGAAATCAACTTTTCTTCCATCTCATGGGTCTAAAAGCACTGACAGTTTTGATTTTGGGACTTAAATTATATCACAATGGCTGTTGGAAACTGCAGACGGAAATGTCAGTGTTGCTGGAATATAATAGTGCAGCGCCAGTAAATATCTCCGGATTTAGCTCTCATGTATTCTTTTTTTTATTTAGTATTTCATCAATAACTTTGTTGTACATGCTTTCACACAGATAGTTCATTTCTTTCAAGGTGGTTTTACTGCCTAGCAACCTTATAGAAATAAATTTTGGTGTTCTGTAATAATGGCTGAAAACAGTGGAGCTTACATTAATGCAACTTTCGTATTTTGAGAGGTAGTGACTGAAATGCCATGGCCTTTTTTTTTTTGGCCAGAATTAATTGTAAGAGGAAAAATGTTTTTAAAGACCTAATGAAGCTGATTGGTAAAGAATCAAGTAAAATATGGCTATTAAGTAAATCATCCTACTTACATGGTGACTTTCACAGATGTCAATAGGAGATGGGAGTCCACAATTTTTTTGTGCATTTTAAAATGCTCCTTTTTTCCCATAAGAAGTAGTAAATTGAAGCCTTCTGGAAAAGAACAACACCAAGCATACTCTGCTTTGCACTTAAATCACTCAGCCCCCAGAGTAGATGGTTTTCTAGTGTGAATGACATATTCAGTCTTACAAAATTTAAGTGTGAAACTGCAAACACTTATTATCAATTTCAGAGCTTACTTCTCTAAGTAGTTCCGCCCAGTAGTATTGTATTTATTATTTACAAGCAGAAATGATGTGCTAAGTAGTTTCTAGAAGATCATTCTTGGGTCAAAATTTGGTCTTACAGAGGTGACTGCAGACTGTATAGGACGGTAACTACTAAATGATAGACTCACTGAAGTGTCTGACCATTTGGCAGCATGTAACAAGGTCAAATGACCTTCATATTCAACATAAACTTTTTAGAATTTTGGTCTGAACTTTCTGATACTGAAGGAAATCAGAGGGAAATCATAAAACCATGCCAGTAAGACACTGGGATTCTTGTACATCTAGGCTCTACTTAGTTCATGTTCAGTCCCTGTCAACCTTTTCTTCTAGACAGCTTTCCAGCAAATCTGCCCCCAGCCTGAAGCAGTGCAAGAGGTGATATGATATGATATGATATATGATATGATATGATATGATATGATCCTTGGTCTTTCTGAAACCTCATTCCACTGGTCTCGCACCATCAATCCAGCCTGTCCCCATCCCCTCACAGAGCCTTCCTAATGATCAGCATGCTGACACTCCCACCCACCTTGTTTTGTCACAAATTTACTACTGAGGGTACACTCAATGCCCTTGGCCACATCAACAGGACAGACACTGAACAAGACTGGGACCACCGGACACTGCTAGTGACCGGAAGCCACCAAGATAAGGCACCATTCCCCACCACTGTCTGGGCCCAGTCCCAACAGTTCTTAACCCAGCAAAGATTGCCCCTGCCCAAGCCCTGGGTTGATGGTTTTTCAAGATTGTGCTATCAGAGACAAAGGCTTTGCTCAAGTCCAGGGAGACTCCATCCATGGCTTTTCCCTCAGCCCTGAGGTGGGTCATCTTCTCCTCAAAGGACATCACATTGCTCAGGCAGGATCTGCCTTTCCTAAACCCACTCTGGCTGGGTCTGATCCTCTGCATATCCCTTTTGGACCGTGTGATCCCACTCACGATGATCTGCTCCAGAACCCTGCTAGGCCCCAAGGTCAGGCTGACAGGCCTGCAGCACCCCACATCCTCCCTGCAGCCTTTCTTGGCTGTGGGTGTCACATTGGTACTTCCAGTCACCTGGGACCTCCCTGAATGGCCAGCACTGATTATAAAGGAGGGACAGCAGCTTAGTGAGCTCTTTCGCTGTCTCCCTGAGCATCCCTGTAGGACTCCCAGCCAGGCCCATAGACTTGTCAGTGTCTCAGCGGCTGCACAGGTCACTGATGGTTTCCTCCTGGATTACAGAGACTCCAGTCTGCTCCCTGTCCCTGTCTGACAGCTCAGGGGAAATGCTCGACATCTGCATAACTGGTTTGGCTATTGAAGACTGAGGCAAAGAAGGCATTCAGTATCTCAGCCTTTTCCTCATCCTTTGTGACCATAATCAACCCTGCACCAAATGAAGAATTGAGATTTTCCTTGTCACTCCTTTGTTGGTAATGATTTAAACAAACACTTTTTATCATCTTTTACAGTCGTGGTCAGATGAAGTGATAACAGAGCTTTTGCTTTCCTGGTTTTCTTTCTACATGAGGTGGGCCCAAGGTGGGATGGGCGGGAAAAGCAGTTTGGCAAGGCTTCTTTTTGGATGTTTAGGGGAGGAACATAAAGTGGGACAAGGGAGTGCTGAAGGTCATTGGAAGAGGAACAGGCAAAGGCAAAGTTGAGGGGCAAAGTCCTGAAAAAGGCCTCTGTGACCAAGGGGTTCTCCATGTCTCTCCATGACAAGGGGTGGCCATGCCTACCAGGCCTTTATGACCCACGCTCGCATCGTGCCCAAATGCCATTGTGACACGGATGCCTGCGGTGACGTGGAGGAATCTTACAGGGACAAAGCCCTCACGTTGTCACTCCCAGGAGAGCAGTGCTCTGAGGAGGCAGCAGCTCTCTCACGAGGCAGCAGCTTCTCTGGAGGAAGCAGCTCTCTGGGTGCCCTTGGCCAGTGTTCGTCAGAGCACTGCCAAGATGTCAGATAGGCAGGAGGTGAACGCCCAATGCAAATCCCGTGAGGGGCAGCCGTTGCTGTCCAAGCGGCAACAGGTGAGGGATGGGGATGGAGGGAGAGGCTGCACTGGGACCTGGGGGAGGGCTGGGGGCAGAGAGCCAGGCCTGGCACCAGGCCTTGCTCTGGGGAGGAGCCGGTGCCAGCATGGCCCAGGTGAAGGAATGCCCCAGAGACAGCGAGCACAGCTGGGAACCCAGCCCAACCTGGCTGCTGTGGTCAGCACCTGCCTTAGGGCCAGAGCTGAGCTTGTCTCTATGTGGGGGGACAGCGTGTCTGCACAGCCGCCTCCATCCCACGCCTCTTCCTGCTTCCCACAGGTGCCTCAGAGGCCGCCGCAGGCAGCAGCAGAGGTCACATGGGTGACCATCGTGCCCCTCCACGGGGACAGACAGGTCCAGAGACAGGACACCTCATCCCGACCCACAGGACGGGGATCACAGGAGGAAATCCTGGAGGGCCGGTATTTGCTGCCCCACAGCGGCACAGTCACACAGTCACCAAGATTGTCTGTGTCAGACTTGCCGCCTCTCCATGGCCCTCCATTGCCAGTGACACCTCCATGCCGAGAGCCAAAGCCAAGAGCAGCCTCGGCAAGGGTCAAGCTGCCCCCTCTGCCAGCAGCCCCAGCAGCCTCTGGGGCTTATCCCAGAGGCAGAGCATGGTCCATGGGCCCTGTGGCCAGCAGCTACCGAGAGCTTGTGCCACCTTCTCTGTGGGGCACTGTGGCTGCTCACAGGGCCCAGGGAACACCTTCGCCAGACAGCTCAGCTGAAAGGCTCTGGCGAGGGTCAGCGGCAAGGCAGGGCCCAACAGGGACCCAGCCTGCCTGGAAACACTTGGGGCACAGCAAGACGGAGGAGCTTGCTGAGGTGCAGGAAGAGCACAGTGTCAAATCATCCCGAGACTTGTTTAGAGGCCTTGCCCTGTGCCTGTGTAAAGACACATCTGTTGTGTCCAGCTGCATACAGGAGCAGTCAAGTGTCCTCCAAGAGGTGGATCCACAGCCCCAGGTGCTGGCCAGCACACTTAGCTTGACTGAAGGCTCCATGGGAGAGATGGGAAACTCCTCGGACCTTCTGTCCCCTGGCCCAGTTGCAGAGCTCTTCTCTGGCTCAGACAACTTGCAGCTCAAGGACACTTTGGTAAAGGAGCCAGAGGAGATGTGGGAAGAGGAAGAGCTCCCAGACACAGAGACTTCAGGGGATAGGGACAGCGACCCATGGAGCATGACACTTCCCCCATTGAAAGTGAAAAAGGCAGAAGCAGCAGCTTCTGGGTGCCCTTGGCCAGTGAGAGAGCCCTGGGATGAGGGACCCAGTGATCTTTTCCCCACCTCAGAGCCTGAGGAAACCTCACGCTTCTCAGCTTCGCCTTCATCTGAAGGCTACGGTGAGGAGAGGGGAATTCATCAGTCAGCAGAGCACAGCACCCACAGCAAGCTGCTGTGCACGAAGACTGAGGATGTTTCGAAGCACCTTCTGCATATCGAGGCAGAGGAGCTGGAGAAGTTGGAGGAAGACATCCTCTCCTCCTTGGATCAAGAAAGCTCCTCGGTGCCTCACAGCCTTTGCGGCTGGAGCAAAGACTGCGCAGGAGAGACCGAAAACTACGCACAGCTCATGCCCCCTGACCTGTTTGCAGAGCTGTGGTCTCTCTTTAACAACAGGGACGTGCCATCCTGGGGCACTCGTTCAGATGACTTACTGGGAAAGTGGGAAGAAGAAGAGGTCCCTGACAGAGATGCTGCAGGAGAGGGGGACAGTGAGCCAGAGAGTGCATTGTGTCCCCCCCTGCAAGACAAAGAAGCAGGGCCAGCAGCTTCTCCCCTGGGCAGTGATGCCTTTGATGAGGGGCATATCCAGCTTCTCCTGATGGCACCACCTGAAGAGGCAAAGATGTTGGCTTGCGTCTTGCCTGCCAATGCCATGGAGGAGGCCAATGCAGCATGCATGGATGCTGTCTGTTCCCAGGACAGACTTGCCCAGGAAAATGCCTGTGGGGCTGGGGAGACAGCAGAGCCTTGCCCAGTGCCTGCCCAGCCCCTGGCATGCAGTGTTCCTTCCTCCCCCACTGACATGACCTCTGTCCCACAGCCTCCGGCCCCACAGCGATGGCGCTCCATCATCAGGACGGCCCGGCGGGCACTGAGACGGCTTTTCTCCTTCAGCTGCCTCAGGGGGCAGCGAGAGGAGTGAGCCCAGAGCCAGCACCAGGGAAATCCCAAGAGATGGCCGCTCACCCTCACACAGCTCCCAGGGGGAACCGCAGCTCCCAGAGGCAGCGGCACAGGGAGGCATCCTCCTTTCCTATGGCAAGTGGGAAATTTCCTCCCTGGATCCCCACAATATGGACTGGAGAAAAGGGCTTACCCCAGAAGAGTGATCTGCCACCTCTGCCTCCAAAAGAGTCACTAGGACTGTTCACCATCAGAAAGTGTGGGGTGACGAAGGACTGATGGCTCTGGAACCAAGTTAATGTCTGTCTTCTGCTTGATGCCGCTATTCCTTCCCTCTCCTACACCCAATGTTCTTTCCCACTCTCTCTTTTTCATTGTTCTCTTTTCTATTCCTTTCTATCTCTCTACTTCACATTTATTGTTAAGTAAAATCACATTTGTTGACTTTTATAGATGGTCTCGTTGGCACTTTAATTTGCGCAGAGGCATCTCTCACTAATTGCGACTTAACAGGGACACACATCTGCACACAGCACTTGAGGTGTGGTCTCCCCAGAGCCCAGCACAGAGGGACAGTCACTGCCCTGGCCCTGTTGGTCACACTAGTGCTGACACAGAAGGCCAGGATGCAACTGGCCTTTTTGCCCAGCTGGGTACTTGGTGGCTCATGTTCTTTTCTAGCCACTCTGGAACACTGTTCATTCCCAGCCTGGCACACCACAGCGTCTTGTCATAACCCTAGGACAGGATCCAGATTTTTTTTCTTATTGAACCCCATTCTCCTGGCCTGGCACCACTGATCTATCCTGTCCACATCCTCTGCAGAGCCCTGCTACTTTCCAGCACTTCAACATTCCCACTCACCTCGGTGCCAACTGTGAACTCACTGAGGGTGTTGTCAATCACCTCATCTGGATAAAGTATTAATCAGGACTGGAACCAGTACTGAGACCTAAGCCCCAGTAGTGATTGTTTGCCCTCTGGATTTAACTCCATTCACCACCACTCTATGGCCCAGCCATCCAGCCATTTTTTAACCCTATGAAGAGTGAATGCGTTGGAGTCTCCAGAAGCCAGATTCTTCAGGAGAATGCTGTGTGAAATGGTGTCAAAGGCTTTACTAAACTCCACATAGGCACTTCCACAGCCTTTGCCTCATCCACTTCAGCAGGTCACCTTGTAAAAGAAGGAGATCTAGTCAGGCAGGACCTGCCTTTCATGTACCCATGCTGACTGATCCCGTTTGTCCTGTATGTACTGTAAGATCACACTCCAGAGGATCTCCTCCAAGACCTTCTCTGACACCGAGGTCTCGCTGATAGACCTGGAGTTCTCCAGGGCCTCCTTCCAGCCAAGGCACACTGTGAAACACAAACCTGTTGGAACCAAGAATTGAGTCCTTGAGTCCAGCAAATTAGATGGAGTCAGGAACTGTTCTTTGGCACTGAAACTCAGTTGCATACCTAGTTAGACTGTTGGCATTGTTCCTGGTGTTCTTTTAGCCAACCAACACTATCCCAAATTGTTCCTTATCACAGCTTGGTAATTAGCACAGGCAAGCAACCATTCCCAATAAGCAGTTTCCATGCAGCTACACTTCACTGGAAGTTGAGAGAGTGAGGTGGTTTGGACATGTTAGAGTAGCTCTTTCTGTGCCAAGGTGCCCCAGTGACAGAGAACCATCGTAAACAAGCATAATTTTTTCGTATAAACTGAGTTTATGCATTCTGATTCCTAGATGTTTACCCTGGACAAAATATCTGAATGTTCTGTTCCAAGACTGGCTGTTGATATCCAAAAACGTCTCAAGAAGAATAGATCTTAGAACAGAAGGAGTTAAGTGTTGAGATGACCCCTGATTTTGAAAGCAGAAGCTTTGTCTGCAAAAACAAAGTGCAAATTCATGACTGGTAAAAGCATACTGATGACTTAGTGACTGTTCTTTCACCAATGCACCTTTATTTTCTCTATTTTTAAATCACTATTTTTTGCATTGTTTCAAACGGAAGGTGCTGCTCATGTTAGATGCTGCTCTGCCCTAGTATTAACAGCTGACTACCATCGGTTCATTAAACTGTACCACTTCAAAATGCCAGTGAAGCAGCAATGGCTGGAGCCTCTGCAGTTGGGATGATGTAATTTTGCCATGGGAACAGCTGTAAACTTTGTACCAGCAGGAGTTGTGCCACCAGCCTGTGCTGATGGTTTGTACTGGTGCAGCCGTGCCAAAGATTGTAATGTGGGAAAACCAGCAGCATAATGGAGCCTCAGATGTGTCATTCTTATCTGATTGTTGTTCAGTCTGCCCTGGTGCACTAGCTCAGAGCTCAATATTAATCTCTCACTCTTGATGTGAGCTCATGATATTAGCTTGTCGTGTAGCTATTCTGCAGCATGTATAGAAGAGAAAAATGAACTGTTAACCTTATCCTGGTCTTGGAATCAATGGGATCCCTTGAAAACCCTTATACATTGAGGGCATTTTTACTAGGTGGTACTTCCAATTATATTTCCAGTACAGAATTATTTTCTTCAGTTTTTCACAAACCCTGAAGCACTGTTTCTAAGCTGAAAGACATCAAGCCTCTCTGATCCTTCCAAGTCTTCTCCAGAATTATGTATTTTCTTCTTTGCAGAGCTTATGTGTTGTCCCAGCAGTTCTATTTCCTAGTGAGGTCTTTTTTTAGATGTCTGATATCCATAGAAGTATCTGAAATCATTAAACTGAGACTGGATTACTTGTATGAGTGGAGTATTCAGAAACTGCAGATGTCCCTTTTGAATTAACTTAGCTGGGGACAAATTCTACTGTTTCTTTTCTCCACCTGCTCTTTCTAAGTGCAGTAAGTCCACACACAGACTTGCTTGGAACATGTTCTGCTTAAATGTCACAGCCAATAAAAAATCAAAATGAAATTGTAACATATATAAGCCAGAATAAAGCTGGCAGTGTATACTGCCAGCCCTACCTGAAGGAGGTCTGGTTGTCCTTAACAATAACATTAATTTTAGCTTATAATAATTTAACAAGCTTACATATTAAGAAGAGAGATATACAAGTATGCTAACATCAAAAGAGGTTAGAAAAAGCTTGATGATAACTTTTTTCTGTCAGAACACACTGTGACTTGAAATGCTTTGTAGATCAGTTTTTTCAAGTTCTTTCTCAGGAATTCTCTTTCAGAAGATGTCCCAGGAGAAAATTTTCTGACCTTATGACTTTTTTCAGAATAAAATAGTTACATTTTGCTATCACTACATCATTTTGATGTGTGTTCTCAGCAGAGTGGGTGCTGTGGTGCTAACCTTCATCATAGCCCTAATCTCCTTGCATCTTCTGACCACAGAGTCTCATTGAAGAACAGTCTGAGAAACAAACCTGGTGCTTCTCCAGAGAGTGAAGAAGTGCTTCACAGAGGTGAAGGGTAAGTCACAGACCTCTGTGATGATTACCAAAGTTCAGTGTGCATGATCTTTCCTTTCATCAGTGTAGAGATCTGGCAGCAGGTGGCTTATCCAGCCATAAATGCCACAGCAAGGTTAGCTGAGTGCCTTGACAGTCCTCCACATTTCCTGCACCTGGCCAAAACACAGCTCCATTACCTATATTACCTCCCATTTCTGGTAGGTATCAATGTAGACATACCATCATCTCTGCTGATGGACTAAGGGTCCTTAATGATCCCAGTGGAACATTACGGGGAGCTCAGATATTACCCCAGGAAGGTTAGGCTAGAAACCTGCTAGTTAGATGATTCATCTGACCTAACATGATGTTAGGTCAGATGCCATTTGCCTGGGCTTTTATTATAGTCAGTGGTGACCTGATCAGTATAGTCCCTGGAGATTAGTGCATGATAGCTAACAAATGCAGCTATCTCACTGAGGCTGAGATAAATCATGCCACAAACTACAGTAACTCTACTAATTCTTTGCTAACAGCAAAGGCATCCCAGAGTGACTTGCTTACAAATAAAAACCTAAGTCTGTTCTTATTTGGCTAAACATATTCCACTTCATACATCTTAAGGGCTTTCAATACTTCTGATATAACTTTAACACCTGCACTTGAGCAGCTGAATTAGAAATGTCCATGTTTGAGTAATTGTATTTTAGAATCCTGCTAAAATCATGGTGTCCCTACTGATGTTGAATTACATTGATAGGAGGACAATCAATCATGGATCTTTCTCAGGCACTACACTGAGGTGTTCTGTAATATTTTCCCAGGGGTGAGACAGGTTTTTGTCTTAAGGAAGCATCAAAGGTATTATGCATAAAGGAAATTATTCAAATGATTCAGCTGGAATACACACAGCAGATAAGCAGATCTAGGTGTTTCACTTACTTCTCCTCTGGTGTGTTCTAAGCACCTGGGAGTGAAAAACTTACCTGGTTGAGTTATTTTTTATGGAGGAGAACAAAGGAGTTCAGGCAACTTCATCTTGTCACCTGCTGCACTGTTCTGTGGGATTGGCACCATCTTTCTGACAAACTCAGAAGGAGCTGACTTCAGTAAAGCCCAGATTTTATCCCAGAATGATAAAGCTGAAAAACTTTCACAGCTTTGAGTTGTGATTACAAAATCCATAATATTAGAACCTGGAGTTTTCTGTTGGGGTCCAACTTTTGGGATCAAATTAAACTATGTATAATAGATACTCTGCTAAAAACAAATGAAGGATAATCTGTCCAGCTGTATAATAATGTTTTCCTCATATTCTCCTTTCTAAACTGTAGTAATGAGAGTCAATACAGTTTCCCACAGAGTTAATCATGCTTTGGTCATCATACTATCTGAAGACTGTGGATGGAATAAAATTTTACTAAAGCTAAATACTTATTTAAAGCATAACAATACCAGTAGAAGTTATCAGGGCATTATCAATAAAGGAATAACTAGAGTTTGAAAGCAGAATAAAATTGAAATAAATAAAAATTCTATCTTGAATAGGAAAGACACTGGAAAATCATGGAATCATAGAATGATTTGGACTCAAAGGAACATTCAAGATCATCTAGTTTCAAGCCTCTGCCATGGGCAGAGATGTCTTCACTAAACTCAGAGCCCCAGTCAATCTGACCTTGACATCTTCAGGGCTGCGGAGTTTTTGATAATGCCTGAAAATATTAACAATGTCTTAGAGTAAGGAAAGCCATCTCTCTTGTTTGTGTTCTGGATGTGGCCTCTAGATCTTACTGAAAACAGGAGACTGAGAAATTTTGAGAAGGTTCTAATATCAGGGCTTGAAAGAGTATCCTGGAGACACTGACTGTATTATGTCATAGTCCTTCTTTCTGATACACCTAAAAGAAACTTCTGCAATGTCCCCTGGCACTGCAGATATAATGCCAACACAGTACAATTTAATCATGTGCTGTAGCAGGTGTTTAGAAGACTGCTCAGGACATTAGCAGAGTAAGACCAGAGCTGTTGTCTGGGGGAATGAACAATGAGATGCAAGAAGCTGTTCAGTAGTTCCCAGGTATGGTATCAATTCCTTGGTACCCTCCAAACATGCACATAGCGCTGCAAGAATACAATGACACATTCTGTACCGGAAGGACACATCTGGGAGTCCCTGAAGAAATCTTAAAGTGTTTCTTTTGCCTTTGTATTGTCCTGTCCCCACACAGTGACCTAGAAAAAGTCTTCTAGGACACATGAGTCTCCACTATCATTGCAGCCTTACCTTTCCTTATTTTCCTTTTTGGAAAGTAACCTATTATCTTGCACATAAAAATATTCCAGAAAGGTTTTATGTGAAATTAACCCTAATTATACTTTTCATTCTCTTTCAGGGAATAACCCAGAAGCTTGAAAGCCATTTCATTATATAGCTGTAAATGAGTCACTTTAGTCTGTATAGAGGTCATGCATATATTATATCTATCTATCTATCTATCTATCTATCTATCTATCTATCTATCTGTCTATCATCTATCTATCTATCTATCTATCTATTATCTATCTATCTATCTATCTATCTATCTATCTATCTATCATCTATCTATCATCTATCTGTCTTGCCTATCTATCCACCTGCCTATATATACTTGAATTGCTTTTGTTTATTAAATATTCCTAATATAATGAAAGAAAGTGTATAAACTTTTTTATTTTATTTACGTAGTGTGGATTTCCTAGGGAAAGGAGAATGCCACCAATGTATGGTACATATATGCCAGAATATATCTATCATAGAAATCAGCACTAGCAAAGAGTAATCCAAATGGGAAGTAGTTCCATGTTTATAATTGAAAGAGACTGAGCATTTTTTAATCCTCTCCTTATATTATTTATTACCTTTGAAAATAAGACTAGAGATTTTGGTTCTTGTATTTTACAGTCTATATTTCACCTGGATAGAGCCATCTGTGGAGCTATTAACTGCACATAGAGACAGCCAAAATCTTTATTTCTGTTTATACCTCTCCTAATGGATTAATTTTCTGCTACCGATGCCTGGAAGACTCAATGAGATAACTACAGTTAGGTGAACTGAGCCTAATTTTCAGTTCTTTGCGAGTGAATATCTGATTTCTACAGCACAGGATGGGACACTTCTGTAACACATCAGAAATGAAGTTGCTCCACTGAGAGGAGCAAAGAAGTTTTTTTCTGATTAACTTAAAGTCAGCTGATTAGAGATGGAGAGATGGGTTCAGAACATTGGTCTAAATTTGTCAAAGCGTGATTTTGCAGTTATGGAGAGATGGGTTCAGAACATTGGTCTAAATTTGTCAAAGCGTGATTTTGCAGTTGGGCTTAGTTTAGTAAGCCCCCAAATTGGGGGGAAAAATATCTTATGAAATATAAATAATATCATCTTAAATATAAATAATATAAATAATATAAATAAATAATATAATATAAATAATATAAATAAATAATATAAATAAATAATATAAATAAATAATATAAATAAATAATATAAATAAATCTGGGTACCTCAGGAATGTTTCATATTAAACCATCGCTCAAGAAAATCGTGCAAGAAATGGAGAGCAGGTTTAAGATGTGAGCAAAACTGCTCTCTGAAGCAACAAGCATCAAACATAGAGGAATATGAGAGGAATCTTTACATAATGCTTACTGCCCTAAAAGATAAGGGACTTCTGTGCAGCATGGGGATGTTTCATTTCAGGAAAGCTTTTCCCCATTCCTTTAGACCCCATTCCTTTAGACTCCATTCCTTTAAGACTCATTATGATTTTGTTGCACCTGGACCTTGCAAGATATGCTTTCTCCCTTATCAAATAGCAAAGCAACACTTTATTTTATTTTATTTTTTTGGCTCATCCAGAAGTTTTGAAGAACTACCTACTCACAATGAAGAATACACATTTTAAGCTAAAGGATTAGTGATTTCTTTCAGTTCTCTCAGGAATTATTATTAAGGTGCATTGGCAGTGCTGTGAAGGAGGAGCTTAAGCAGCTCTAGCCCAGCCTTTGTGTTGCAGGTAACTGCAGCTGCTCTGCGATTTACAGACTTAGTAAGGATGATCTTAGCAGTCCCAGAATTAGGATGGGACAGATTGCTGCATCTGAAAATAAAATGTATGATGTTGCATTAAAGCTGTTACCAACAGAATCTTAAACTTGGTATAATTTCTATAGACATGTGTAGCTGCTTACTGAAGGCAAGTAAGTCATTAACATGCGAACACATTTCTTTAGAGAATATTTGCTTCTGAACACAATATGGAGCACAGAACCTTTGGATGAACTCCAAGTTGTCAGTAGTAGAGTTGAGTGAATGATTCAGAACAAGCAATGTGACTGATGAATTTTTCTTTCTGCTTAAAACGTGTCTTCAAACACGTCATTATTTCTTTAGACTGATTTGTCTCCAATCAACTTGTGGAAAGGGAAAAGAAAACACCAAAGAACAAAAATAATAATAATAATAAAAAAAAATCCTTAAGTCTATAGCTTGATCTTGAGAATACACATTACTCCACTCTCAGAGACCAGTGCAAAAGATGAATTTTTTTTAATTGAAGAAAACAAAAACTAGATGTCTCATCTAAACAGGAAGCTGCTCTGGGGAGGATTGGTGGTGTTTATAAGGGTGTATGGCAGAAAATATTCTGTTGAGTCTGTCTTTACTTGTTAAGAGATGTTGGGTTAAAATCTGTGTAGGAAAGTGATGTGAACACTGCTGTTGAAAAATTGCATTTCTAGATTTCTTTTGGAGGTTTTTTTTTCTCTGCAGTGTTGGGGCAGTTGTCACTCTGAAGGAGATCTTTGAGACTGGTGAAACAGCAATGTTCTGTGGAGATCCACACTGAGGGATCTCTAAGTATTTGAATCCTTTGATCTTTGGTCATTGGCACTTGGTTTAGTGTGACCATGGTGGTGCTGGGCTAATGGCTGACCTCAATGGCCTTTGAGGTCTTTTACAACCTAAACAATTCTATGGTTCTATCCATAAAATACCAGATCAGGGAGACAAAATCAAGAAGTTTTGCAAAGAATACTCTGAGACGGTTGACTTTGGATACAACTCATCTGGGAAACCAGAGATGTTCAGATAAACATGTCAAGCTTCAGATCATATTTCCTGATATGATCTACTTAGATCTGGGAGGTTTCTCACCATTCCTCACTAGCTGTGGTGAGGACTGAACTAGTCCTTATACAGAGATAACTCCCTGCACTCAGGACTTTCCTGTCACTGGATTGCTTGAAAAAGGCATAATAAATGACCTTGGTGATGGGCAGTAATGCAGTCAGTGGGATATATCAGCAAGCCCCCTGAAGATCTGCTCTTAATGCTTTTCTGATCTACTTTTCCCTTTCTCCTCTCACACCTTGTCTGTTCAGAATGTAAACTGGCTGAAGGAGGGCTTAGTTCTGTGAGTGCAGGATTCCTCCTGAAATGGATATTCTGGATATTCTGGCTTCCCACAAGGCCTCCAAGTGCCTGTGCCCCAGCAATAACACAGGTATAAAGTCAGCTGAGCTATCTCCATACTACTGTCCATGGATTTCTTCAGAAGATCTGTCGCTCATTATTCAATGCTTCATGTACTAGCTCAAAAATAGAACAAATGTTTGGGGTTATAGGAGTGATCTATAGTGGTTTGGGAAATCCCTTTTCCTTAAGAGCCCAAGAAGAAAACAACTCTGGAAACACAAAATGAATTTTTCTTTAATGGTAGAAGCACTGCTGTCCATATGCTGAAGGAAGAATTAACCTTTTACTAAGCTGTTTTGGTTTTTTTTTTTCTCCCATCAATTCATGTTTAGTTATCAGTGTTTAAACTGCATCATTATAATCCTTTCCTCTAATAAATGCTTCAGCCTTTCAACTAAAGAGAGGTGGTTTATGTGTGTGTACACTGCAGAGCCAATCTGCAATGGCTGGCAGTATTTGCAGAGGATGTAGTAGGAGTTTAGTGCCATCTCTGGGGAATTGGACCACTATTATTTACAGTCATGTGAGTGTAAGTCCTTGCATATCATTTCTGAAATGTCACCCTGATGCAGTACATATCAAAGTGTGAAATTCTGTGCATGCTTGTGCCGCCAGATTTTGGCATGAATTTGGAAACTGAAGAGCAGAAACTGGTCCCAGTAAATAAGATAAACCTTGTGGAATCAGGCCAGCTGCTTCCTGCTAATGTGACCTTTTCTTCCATGTTTCTCTTTCCCTGTCCTGCTGATGGATAGGATGATTTTAAGAGACTTTAGTACATGATAGGGCTGCCAGATTTGGATCCACATCCAATTATTTCCAAAGGTCAGTGGCACTTGCACTGGGCATTCTTGTTTGCATTCCTTCTCTTTATTTCCAGGAATACCGGTAACAAAAATAAGACAGAGCATGATTCTACTGAATATATGAACCCTTGGCTAGATATCACTTCTATCTTTCTTATAACATATATTTTAAAAGAAAGCAATTTATTCCATACCTGGATGCTCATAGGTCTTTTTGTACCTTCTTATTTCAGCTTTGGTCTTCCCTGGAGACAGAACTGAATTAGAGAGATTGCTGGCTTGATTCTGTCTGGCAGCTCCTGTGTTAATATTGGTTTTAACTTCAGGAGTTGTTAAACAATAATTAAATGAATGAAAAACCAAAACATGTTTGGGTTTTTATTTTTGACATGGCAGAAGAAAGAAAACCAGAACTGAAACAGCTTAGGTCTCCTACTTAGTTCTGTCTTGAGATAGAAAGAAACCTATTTAAACTTTCTGAGATCAAAACCCATGAAAAACTTATGACTAAATAAATAAATAAATCAAAATGAGAAAATCATTGACTAAAGTCATATTCTGGCTATCTAGACATTAAAATGTGAGTTTATATTTTGCCAGGCATTATATATTTGATCTCCATATGCTTCAAATTGAAAAATCCTGTAGCTTCTCTGAATTATTTTTACATTTATCTTTCTGTGGATCCAGATCTTTTCTTTTGGTTAGAAGGAGCAAAATTCCTGAGGACTATAATCTTTTAGATTCTGTGCAAGCTGTAAAGTTCCCCTGAAACCACTTTCATTAATTTTGCAGAAGTTGCAGCCTTAAGGCTTTAAAAAGTGCTAAGCAATCAGCAGTCACTCATTTGGGAACCTAATTATGGAGTTAGGAAACAAATATGTCTTGGTCTATCACTTGCCTTGCATAATACGTGTTCTGGGACTTAACCTCACACCTGCTCGTACAGATGTGTAAGTACTTGAGACTGCTGTGTACCAACACAGAGATCTCTTTCCAAGTATGCCAGTGAGTGACATGGGAAAGGATCTGCACCTTCACCCCACCAAGATGAGTCTCCTGGTGGCTGAAATTGGTATTTTATGATTTCAGTTATCATCTGAAGTATTTGAAGTCTCTGAGTAGCAAAATAATGACCTCTATGATATGACTTGATATACATTGTCACATACATTGTGCAGGAAAAGTAAAAACATTGTCCTTTCAGATGTGGAATAAACAGAATTAAGCAAAAATATGTTATTTTCTGAACTGTTTCTTTTTTAGGAACATTTCTAACCTCTATGCCAAACTAACCCATCTCAATTTTAACAATAATTAATTTTTTTTTCCTTCATGTTTAATTGACATAAACAATAGACACTGGCTTCTGAAAGTAAAGCAGAATTACTTGGAATGGATTGGCAATCCTTGTCTGACAGAGGGTTTGGAAGAGGAGCTGAGCTCACCTAGGTGTGGACCAGGCAAGCTGTGACCTTGGACTCATTTGCTTCTCCTTCCATTTGCTCATCCCTAAACTGAGTTCCTGCCCCCTTGATTCTTCTTTTCCTTATTTTCATAGCCTAAGGTGATGCTTGCTGCATAGTTTAAGACTTTGAGGCTTTTGGAGGAATATAAATAAACCTTTTTCTTTTAAGTATGAGATGACATTGGTGGGTAAGTGCTGGCAAAGGACCAAACTCCCATCCAGCTGCTGTCTCACATCCCCTCCTCAAGAGATCAGGTGGAAATAATAGGATGGAAAATCTCTCAGTTTAAGACAAAGACAGGGATATCACTTTGCAGTTGTCACCATGGGCAAAACAGATTTGACTTGGGGAAAGGTGGCTTAATCTATTATCATAGTTATAATAGTTTCAGGTAATCAGAAACAAAGACAAAAACTAAACACCTCCCTCCCACCCCCTTTCCCAAACCCAGCTTTCTCCCTTCACTCCTGGTTCTTCTCCCCTGAGGGTGCAGGGATGGGGCTGTTGTTGGTCCCTCACAGCTCCAGCATGGGCTGGCCTGTTTCCCTGGTTACAGTCCTTCAGGGATCATTGTTCCCAGTGGGGGTCTCCCCATCTGTCTCCAAATTCTGTGGCTCCAAAGGTTCTCTGCCTCCAGCCTCCTCCTCTCACACTGGAGTGTAACTGCTGCTTTCCAGGACAGTCATCGAGGTACATGAAGGAGCTCTACTTCCATATTCCTTTTAGATACTGAGTTCCTCTTTGCTTTCATGCCCCATAACTCCTCCCAGAGTGAAAACCCTCACAAATGCCCCCTGCCAGTCTCTCTTCCTACGCAGATCCATTCCCAACCCTTTCTTCTCAATGGGACTGAAGAGTCAGCTGTGAATGCTGTATTTCCCAAAAATGGTGCAATGTTTTCTGAATGACTCGAGCACAGGCTTTGTCTGAGGTTTCTGGACAAATGTGCCTTGGAAATATTGCTAAGATTGTAAAGGACAAAGACCAAGGGTTTGAGTTTAGGTAAACTCCTTTACAGTTTTGGAGCAAGTGGAATTAGTCCCCATTCTATATGGTCAGAAACTGGGAATAAAGACACTGCAATAAAATCTCCAGGTGGTGTTAAAAGGGTAGGAATCATGGATGCCAGAGTGAACAGGCAAGTAACACAAGGAACTTGATGGAATTGAAACATGGGAAGAAAAGCAATTTAATTACATTGAGGAAAAGGTGAAACCTGATCTAGGTGCATTGAGGGAAAACTCACCCCAAATATCCACTTATTAAGAGAAAGGAAAAGCCCGAGAAAAATCTAAAAAACCTAAAAAAATCTAAAAAAAAACTCCACAAGCAAGGAGATTTTCCTGGTCCTCCCAGCCTTGCTAATCTGGGAATTTGAGAGGGGATGTGTTTGTCTGGGAGGTGATGAGGAAGGATGGGGTAATGGAGAATGCCTCTGCCTCCAGCATCTTCAAGTGCTGTGTACACACACTCATCTTCCACTCAATGCAGTTTCATTTAGATTGTTGTCCCCACCTCCCCATGACACAGGAGCTGTGTTTCTCCTGGAGAGACTCTCTCAGGTGACTTGCTGCTGAATTTCTCATATTGTAAGGGTCAAGCAATAATTATAAAGATATATCAGGAGAGGCACTGACTTAGAGAAATGGCAAGGAAAAGATGTGATTCTTCTGGCAATGAAATTGTGAAGAACAGCTCAAAGAGGAAGATGAAAAAATAGATACCAAAACAGGAAATGTAAGCTTTAAAAAAGGAGTCAGAATTGCTAAAGCTGTTTTTAGAAGAAAACAGTTTATAGAACAGATTCTTCTCTGAACACAACTGATATTTGCAATTAGAGTTGGTCAGAAAATACAGCCATTAACTTTTTTAAAAACCAAAAATCTTGCAAAGAATTGATCTGAAATGTTATTCAGGGTCAGATCCATCATTCCCCTTCTCTACTGCTTTATATCTGGGACTTCCAGGCCTCCAGGCACCAAGGAAGACAACTTCACCTCAGCCAGAATCACATCACATAGTTCTCCTGATAGCTGATATGAATTAACGTCCCCACTAGAAATTGCCAGTTTAAATCATCAGTTGCTAATGATTAAATTAGCCTAGGCCTAGTTAGCTATCTAAACATTCAATCCCTTTTGGAATCATGTTTATGATCTGTCTGATTAGGGAAGCATAGGAAAATGCCCTGCATCATTTTGTGATGATGAGAGAAACTAAATGTTTGTGAAAGAAAAAAAAAAAAAAAGCTTTTCACTTTGTAGAAATGGAACGAAAGTCTGTGTCGAGGACAGGTTGCTTTTATTTCTGTTTGAGAGAACATGATGAAATAAAGCCCAAACTGATCAAAACATCAACAGGGATGGAATATTTGGGGGGAAAAAATGAAAGGCTATTTTTTTTATTGACAAGCAATATAAATGAAAAATGTTCATACTGGTTGAACTCTTCAAAACCAGTTCTATTTATAACTGGGGAGAGGCGAAGAAGATGCATTTAAACGTAGATGCAGGAAGTGTTCTCATTTCTGCAGTTTGTGAAGGCTCTGCCTGATTTCTCCAAAATGAAACATTAGTCAAACAGGTAGGGTCTAACTCTTTACTAACATAACCATTTTAGCAACACTGAAGTCACTGAACCTATGAGAATTTATGCCAATGGAGATTTGCTCCACAATACTCCAACACTCCTAAGCTATGGTGTGCAACAGGAAGTACATCCTTCAGCATGTTTGTAGCAAAAAGCCCAGCTGTGTGTTGTGCAGTCCTTTTGTAATATCCATCCATTAGCACTGTTGGGTGTCTTTAAGACAATCATCAAGTCCCCTCTCCTTGCATGAAGCTCAGTTCCATTCAGCCTTCATCCAGAAATGCAGTTTCTTTTATTCTTTCCTCTCAGGATATGCAGTAATTTCAATGTAAAAGAAAACTATAGATACATATTCATATGTTTGGCTGGATTAAGCATTTTTCTTGCACTAAATACAAGATGTTAAGTTACAGGATTTGAGGCTGCTGTAGTTTATATTTTTTTTTCTTGAGGGTAATTTCACAGCTCCTTACATGTAACAGGAAGTAGATGTAGACAAACACTATTTGACTGCAGAAAAATGTGAAATTGAGCTTGCCACTGAATTGTTATTTTAAATTAGATTTCAGTGATGCCTTCCGTGGAATACTCCAGGTAATTTACACTGTTTTCGATTTCAAACTCCAAAATACAATCCATTTCCTAACAGATGATACTGTGTCCACACTGGAAAACTGTGTAAGACATCCTACCAAAGACACAGGAGCACAGTTTGTATGGCCTTATTTTGTGGTGTGACATCATCTGATAATTCTTAATCTCCTCTGTTAACAGGATTTACATCAGGTAAATGAGATTCTGTATTTTATTTATATCAATCATTCACTCCACAGAACAGCTTTTACTGACAAATAATTCATTTCTTTGTCAGATCCATCACTAATCTGTCTGACAACATTTGGGCCAGAATTATATCTTGAAGTAACTAAGCACAGCTAAAACTGCTTCCAACTTGTTTTTTGACTTAACCTTTCCCCTAGTCTAGTCTGCCTTTCCCAGCTGTATGATTTTTGAAACACCCACAGCTTCAACTGAAGTGAGTAGATGAAATTCTGGCTTCCAGCTGCCAAGCTCTTACTGACCTCAGTTACAAAAGAAAGGATTTTACCTACTGGCAGTCGTTCAGCACCTTTGAAAATCAGTGATTTAACAACTGGCCAAAGGTCAGACCAGAAATCAATGCCAAAAGAAGGACTAGACCTCTGTAGGGTCTAACTCCCAGGGTGGCCCTGGAAG